TAAAATGAGAGTAGTTTCTGCTTTGGTCCAACGAGACAGATAAAGAGAGGTTGTAATTGTGAACATCTTGGCAAAGATAACAGTGGTGCAATTGCTTTATTGCAAGAAGCAGACTGAAGTTTGCAGTGTCATCAAGAAATGAGCAACAGTAGAAAACCTGAACTGATGTGTTAGGATGGAGGATTATTAATTGCCAAATGAGTCATACAGAACAGAAAAGGCAAAAGAGAGAGGGAGCCGCTCATGGGAGTGATCAGGGAAGGTCAATGGAGAAAGGAGGATTTGAGTTGGGCCTTGATAGGTAGGTAGATTTGGATTGACTAGAAGAAGAAGGGCAGATTTATAGTACAGGGGAACCAGGGTGAACAGGAACAAGCCCCCAACAACCTGGTCTTCTAGCCTCCTTCTGAGCCCTTACTACAGATATTCATTCTCTTTCTAATAACTACAGTGGTTGCCTTTCTATGGTCTGTAGCATCTTCTGATGAGGTTTATCAATGTCATTAACAACATCACATCAGATAACATTTATTGAGCACTTACTAGATGCCAAACAAAAAAAAAAAAAAAAAAAGATTTACTGTTGGCAAGTTGATTCCAATTCATAGCAACCCCTCCTTGGGTTTCCTAAGCAGTATCTCTATGGAAGTAGATTGCCTGGTCTTCCTTCCAAGGAGTGGCTGGTGGGTTTGAACGGCCAGCCTTCTAGTTAGTAGTCAAATGCCACTTGACTTAAATCAACTCATCTAATCATCTCAACAGTCATAGGAGATGTATGTACATTTTGACATATGAGGAAATTGAGGGACAAAGAGATGATGTTACTTACCCCAAGAAGAAAACTGGGATTCACTCCCAAGAAGTTTGGCTCCATAGGTCAAATCCTCCCTTCTCCATACCCTTTTACTCACCATATCATACAAATCACATAGGTTATAGCATCCTTCCATCCTCTTTCCTGAATGTACTGTCATCTTCTTTATTAGGGACTAGTGGGGGAAAGCTAAATCCACCCCCAGCTCCCCCTGCAAGATCACCCACCACAGAGCTTTCAAGCAAGAGCCAGCAGGCCCCAGCCTGGATCCCGACCCAGCAACCAGGAGGTCAGCTGAGAAATGGAAACCTGCACATCATGGGTAAGTGCAGCCCACGGGCAATGGAGCTGTCGATGAGAACATGTTTTCTTCTTGCCTCTGGAGAGAGTTTACCAGCCATGGAGTGGGTTGTCTTTTCAGGGTGTGTGTTTCTTGATGAACAAGAGGCTCACTTTAGCACAGAATAACCTTCAGGTTCTTTTAAGAGGGTTTTTCTCAAGACTCCTATGTGGTTCCACTGCCCATTCATCAGCCTTTTGAGAGCTTACAGCGAGGAGAGCAGATGACTTAAAAATCAAAAACTAATTATAGAGGGAGGGAGGCAAACATTTAACTTGAGTGTCTGTCTGTCTATAGAGAAGAAACCAATTCATAAGCTGAAAGACTAGAGTGATTTGAATAAGGAAGGAATGCAAAGAAAGCCCACCAGGCAAGGAGCCAATCAGAGCAAAAATAGGGAGGTAGGAAGGAATGTCATGTGGGGACAGATATGGTCACAAATGCTTTGGTCTCTTCTGTGGGCTGGGCTACTGTCTGTACAGAAAGCAGATCACAAAGCAGAGACTCAATCCATGAAAGGGCCATACGCTCTCTCAACTCCCACCATCAGGAGGTCCAGGCAAAACTCGTTAACTTTAGGAGCCCAGGTCCCAACTGGATATAGGCAGTATTCTCTCTCATAGCCAAGATAAGGACTGCTGTTCTGCCCCATCTGCCTTCTCCCAAAGCCGCCTTCAGGAGTTCAGGGGTGCTTCATGCTACTGGGACTTTGCAGGTCTGCTTGTTGTAACCATGCTCCCCACCTTGAACTCTGGGCCCTGGAGAGCCCCATGCCCCTGCTGCTCAAGGTAGACAGCTTCCTTAAGACACTGGTTGAAGTAAGTTGGAGGTGGGTGAGGGGGAGTGACTGTCTGCTGATTTCCCTTTTCCTCCTCCCCCTTGTCCTAGTTAACCAGTAAAAATTGAGGTGGAGGGATATCAAGGGGGGAATAGCCCTGCCATTAAAACTCTCACACAGGGCAGGCAAACAAAAAAGCAGTGTATTCCGTCAGAGTAACCTTGGCTCCTGGAAATTACCAAAACTTGGGCCATCACAGTAACCAGAATAAACTTTACTATTTCCCACATCTGCAGATGACTTTGAGTCTAAATTCACGTTCCATTCTGAGGAAGACTTTCCTCCTCCAGATGAATATAAACCATGCCAGAAGATTTACCCCAGCAAGATCCCCAGAAGTAAGTACCCCTTTGATAAGACCCCTAGTTTTTCCTCCTGCTCCAAAAGTAGTGCTCTTTGTGTATTGATTGGCTGCAGACAATATAAAGGATGCCCTGTGGTTGCACTGCACTCCTATGAGGATGAGAAGCCCTGGGGATGCAGCAGCTGAGCATTCAGCTGATAACCAGAAGGTTGGTGGTTTGAACCCACTCAGCAGCTCCGTGGGAAAAAGACCTGTTAATCTACTCCAGTAAAGCTTACAGCCTAGAGAACCCTTTGGGGCAGTTCTACTCTGTTACCTGGGATCTCTAAGAGTTGAGAATTGACTCAAAGGCACCTAACAACCCACTTGGTGGGTTCAGACCTGATCTTTCAGTTAGCTGCCAAGCATTTAACCACTGCGCCAACAACAACCCTAAACCAAAGATTAACTAACTTTTTCTATGCAGGGCCTGATAGTAAATATTTTAGGCTTTGTCAGCCATATATATGGTCTCTGTTGCAGCTACCCAACTTTGCTATTTTAATGGAAAAGCAACTATAATAATACATAAATGAAAGGGCATGGCGGTGTTCTAATAAAACTTAATTTCGTATGTTGACCATGTTTTCTGATCCCTGGCCTGAACTATCCCATACAGCAGATACTTAAAAATCTCTTTCTGTTATCCAGCTTTGCTCAGTAATGTTCTGTGGGTCCTTCAACCTTCAGATTCAATACATTCTAGTATAAAGTTAGCTAATGGTGCCTGAGAATAAGACAAAAGCTATGTCCATCGCCCCATAGAGTGCTCTGGGAAGGTGATGGCAGTCTGCACTGTATCCCTCCTCATCTAAGATATGTTCAAATAGGTGCCCACCCCAAAAATAATCTGACATTCAGGAAGGGGCAATTATTATTTAAAAAAAAAAAAAAAAAAGCCTATTAAATGTATTGACATCCTGCAGACAAAAAAGAACATTTACAATTTCAAATATAAGATTTTACTATAGATTGATGTGGCATGGATGGACATGAAATGCTTCAGTAGTCTCCTAGCAAAATTAAATTATCCTGTTCTTGTCATCCTGTTGAGTTGTGGTGTAGAACCTTGTTAATGATATTAATTTGAGTCTGAAGTAGGTTGTGCCTGTCTGATTACATTTCTCCTTACAGTTTCCTCCTGCTCACTGTTGAGCTGGTTCCCCAAGATGACAGTTCTTCGTGGTCTGGATCACAGTCTTGGTTCTTTCAGATGCGTGTGTTCTCAGCAGTGCTCATGCTCTGCCTTTTCCCACTTGCTTTCTTTCTGTTTCCTTCCCTACACACAAATACACACACAAGGATTCTCTGCTTAGCTCTTCCAATGGTCAACTTCACTGCCTCCACTTGGCAGATGCTATTTTCTTCCTTCAATAGGATGATTTACTTCAATTTCAAAAATGTTTTAAAAGGTCACAATATTTATTGATATAATGATGGTAGAAAGAGTGAAGTCATCATTGTTGTCATCATCATCATCATCATCATCACCAGATCTATAGATATTCATTAAAGCTCTTGCTCATTGAGAAGATTTAGGTAAATGAGTCTGCTCAATTATCCTCAAGCAGAAAGGGAGAGGAGAGAACAGACACTCAAACATACCATTTTAGTCTGGCATACCCAGCAAAATCATCTTACTTACATCAGTTCAGTGGGAAAGTGACTGATTTGAAACTTCACTGTGTTTATATACTGACTTCTCTTTTAAAATAGGGTTACTTGACATTTTGAGTAAAAACATAGTTGTTGGTTGAGTCAGTTCCAACTCCTAGCAACCCTGGAAGACTGAGTAGAACTGCCCCCCCATAGGATTTCCTGGGCTATAATCCCAATAGGAAGAGATTGCCAGGTCTTTCCCCCACAGAGCATTTAGTGGGTTCACACCTCTGATCTTTCAGTCAGCAGCCAAGCATTTAACCATTGCACCAAAACTAGCCACCATTATTTTCATTAGTGAAGGGACTCCATCAGGTTCTGCAGTAACTTGAACAGTACACATGGCTGATGTCATAAACATCAAAGATGAGATGTCCCAAGACTGAGAGAATCAGATGTAGTGCCCTGCCAGTGGGAGTTTTTATTTCAACCTTTGTGGAGGGTGGTTGGGTAGTAATAACCTCTGCCCAAGTGGACTTACCTCCACCAAGCCTTGTTATCACCATTGACAACACCTCTTCCATAAGCTTAGTGCTCCAATATCTCTTTTTTTCACTATTCCTCTCTTTTCAGGGGGGAAAAAATCCCATTGAGTTGATTCCAGCTTATGGCAATCCCATGTGTGGAACAAACAGTTTATACTCAACTGTTAGTCAAAACGTTACTATTTTGAACCCCCCAGTGGTGCCAAGGCAGAAAGACCTGTAGTTTACTTCCATAAAAATTACAACCAAGAGATGGGCTATGCTAACTAGCTTCGATCATTCAGGATCTACCTTAAAGCTCCCCTGAGGAGAGGATGCAGTGAAGGAGTACTTCCCAGAGGAAATTCTACCACATGCATTTTCCCAGAAGGATGAACAGATGCTGATTGGGAAAAACAGATGAACAGACAACCACCTACAATGCTCACAGATCAAAATTCCTCTGCCCTGGCTGACTCTGGACAACATCTGACCCCTGGCACCTCCGTAGAATCCTGAGGCTCTGGAGAACTCAAATGGAAAACCACCAATCAAACTGAGCCCTCAATTTTACAACTCAATACTAAAACCCAGACTGGTGTGGTCACACAGCAAGGGGTGGCAGAGCCCCCACATAAACATCAAATCTGCCAACCCCCCTGGTGTTCTTCCATGATGGCCAACTACATCCTGTCCTCAGCTGCCCAGGATGAAGAAGCAGCCTTTGTATGAGGAAGGTGCCATGTGCCTCAGAGAAAAGGCCTCAGGATCTGGGCAGGGCTGCCCTGGTGCTATTTACAACAGAGAATAGCTGGAAGCAGACAAGAATCCATCAATAAAGTGAGGAGATCCCTACAGCCCAACTCTATGCAGTTGCTAAAATGGATAAACAAGACACTTGTCAACATGGGCTCAATCTCAAGTAAAAAGTGGAGCAAAGATATGTACAATAGTCTACTGTTTTATAAAAAGTATAAATAAGAAAAAAGATTACGGCCAAGAAAACTCTATGGAGCACAGTTCCACTCTGTAATACATAGGATTGCCATGACTCCTATCTTTCCAGATCATTAAAACTAATTTTAAAATTCCTAATTTGAGGGAGGGAGATTGTGATTAGCCCACCCCTGGTCCCAGAACCTGTGGAGAAGGAAGTGTGGTCATGTGGCCACTAGGGACTTCTCTCAGTGTTTGGGTGGACTAAGTTCTCTCCAAAGGGCATGTGATTGAGGATAGAATGGTGGGTCTGTCTAATACCAACTGGAACTAAGACAATAACCATTGGGGATAAGAGGAAAGGCCAACTATGTAATTTCTAAGGTTAAGATCTGGCAGATAGTAGAACTAGATACTATCATTTCCTAGGAAACCTGTCATTTCCTTTACTTGGAGACTATGAGAAGCCTCCAATGTTAGAATAAGAAAGACCCTTTGAGATCATCCAGTGCAACTCTTTTAGGGACACCTGAAGAAATTGAGACCAGAAGGAAAGTGACCTTCCCCTGGTCACAGCTGTTGGCGAAGCTGGGGACCTACCACAAACTGTGGCTTAAAATCCATTGTCATTGACTCAATTCTGACTTATAGCAACCCTATAGGACAGAGTGGAGCTGTGTTCCATAGAGTGTTCCCATCTCTGCCTCTGTCTTTATATGGCCATCTTCCCTCTGTCTCTCTCTGTAAATCCAATGCCAGTCATTGGATTTAGAGCCCACCCTAATACAGTATAACCTCATCTTGATCCTTAACTAAGTACTTCTGCAAAGACCCTATTTCAAAACAAGAGCACATTCATAGGTACCAGGAATTGGGCTTCAGCATATCTTTTGAGGGGATGTAATTCAATCTATAACATGGGGTTAAAGTCTAGGTTGTTTACTCCTTGTTCTGTGTTCTTTACATCACACCTTACTGCCTCTTCACTCTATGCCATGGTGGATTGTAGCTTAAAGAAACTGTTGTGGCCCAGAGTGGCCCAGAGTTGACAGTCATGTCTGCTTCCCACAGAATCCACCTTTCTCCTGAGTCACTTTCCAGCCCCAGGAATAGAACTCAGTGGCCAGTAGGAGCTCTGGGGAGGTTCTTGAGGAGACCCAACTTTAATGACAAGCCAAGTTTGTAAATTGTTCTGGACATTCTCCAAGTCCCGCAGTACTCATTCTCTTGTTGGTTGGCCACAAAATGGATATGCTTGTGCTGGAGAAAAAGCACAAAGCTTGCTGGCTTTACAATTTATGTTGTATTTAAACATTGTATTTCTTAGAGAATTAATTAGATCCCCATGGCACAGAAGCCTGATTTCTGTGTGCAGAGACTTTTATTCTTTTTATAACCATCCTTGGCACAGTGCTTGGAACTTAGGAAGTACTGGACAAATGAGCATGTCAGGTTGCTGTTGTTGTTGTTAGGTGCCATCAAATCATCTCCAACTCATAGCGACCCTATGTACAACAGAACGAAACCATACCTAGTCCTGTGCCAACCCCATGATCCTTGCTACACCTGAGTCCATCATTGCAGCCACCAGGTCAATCCATCTTGTTGAGGGCCTTTCCCCTTTTTCGTTGACCCTCCACTTTACCAAACATGATATCTTTCTCCAGGAAATGTTATCTTCTGAGAACATGACAGAAGTAGGTGAGACCAAGTCTGGCCATTCTCGCTTCCAAGGAGCATTCTGGCTGCACTTCTTCCAGGGCAGATTTGTTAATTTCTTTTAGCAGTCCATGGGACTTTCAGTATTCTTCACCAACACCACAACTCAAAAGCATCAACTCTTCTTCAGTCTTCCTTATTCATTGTCCAGCTCTCATGTGCATATGAGGTGATTGAAAATAGCATGGCTTGAGTTAGGCGCACCTTAGTCTTCAAGGAGATATCTTTGCTCTTCAGCACTTGAAAGAGGTTTTTGCAGCATATTTGCCCACAGCAATACATAGCCTGATGTCTTGACTGCTGCTTCCATTGTTGTTCATTGTAGAACCAAGTAATATGAAGTTTTTGTCAACTTCAGCCTTTTCTCCATTTATCATGATGCTGCTTATTGGTCCAGTTGTGAGGATTTTGTTTTCTTTATAGTGAGGTGTAATCCATACTGCATACTGTAGTCTTCAATCTTCATCAATAAATGCTTTGAGTAATCCTTACTTTAAGCAAGGAAAGTTATGTAGTTTGTATCGCAGGTTGTTACTAAGTCTTCCTCCAATCCTCGTGCCATTTTCTTCTTTATATAAGTCCAGCTTCTCAGATTATTTGCTCAGCATACAGATTGAATAAGTGTGGTGAAAGGATACAACCCTGACACACTCCCTTCCCGATTTTAAACCATGCACTATCCACTTGTTCCATTTGAATGATAGCCTCCTGGTCTATATACAGGTTCCTCATGAGTACAATTAAGTGTTCTGGAATTCCCATTCTTCTCAGTGTTATCCATAATGTGTTACGATCCACACACAATCGAATGCTTTTGCATAGTCAATAAAACACAAATAAACATCTTTCTGGTATTCTTTGCTTACAGCCAAGATCCATCTGACATCAGCAATGATATCCCTTGTTCTGCATCTTCCTCTAAATCCAGCTTGGATTTCTGGAAGCTCTCTGTCAGTGTACTGCTACAACCATTTTTGAATTATCTTCAGCAAGATTTTACTTGTGTGTGATATTAATGATATTTTTGGATAATTTCCACATTCTGTGGGATCACCTTTCTTTGGAATGGGTACAAATATGGATCTCTTCCAGTCAGTTGGCCAGGTAGCTGTCCTCCACATCTCTTGGTGTAGTCAAGTGAGTGCCACCAGCACGGCATCTGTTTATTGAAACATCTCAATGGATATTCTGTCAGTTCCTGGAGCCTTGTTTTTTGCCACTTCCTTCAGTGCAGCTTCAACTTCTTCCTTCAATACCATTGGTTCTTGATCATATGCTACCTCCTGAAGTGGATGAACATCAACCAATTCTTTTTGGTACAGTGACTCTGTGTGTTCTTTCCATCTTCTTTTGATGTTTCCTGCAATATTCAATATATTGCCCATAGAATCTTTCATTATTGCAACTCGAGGCTTAAATTTTTTCTTCAGTTCTTTTAGCTTGAGAAATGCTGAACGTGTTCTTCCCTTTTGGTTTTCTAACTCCAGGTCTTTGCACATTTCCTTATAGTAATTGGCTTTGTCTTCTTGAGCTGCTCTTTGAAATCTTCTGTTCAGCTCTTTTATCTTGTCATTTCTTCCATTTGCTTTAGCTACTCTCCATTCAAGGGCAAGTTTCAGAGTCCCTTCTGATATTCATTTTGGTCTTTTCTTCCTTTCCTGTCTTTTTAATGACCTTTTGCTTTCTTCATGGATGATGTTCTTGATGTCATCCCACAATTCCTCTGGTTTTCAGTCATTGGTATTCAGTGCATCAAATCTGTTCTTTAAATGGTCTCTAACTTCATGAGGGATATTCTCAAGGTTATATTTTGGCTCTCATGGACTTGTTTTAATTGTCTTCAACTTCAACTTGAACTTGCATATGAGCAGTTGATGGTCTGTTCCACAATCAGCTCCTGGCCTTGTTTGTCTGAAGATATTGAGCTTCTCCATCACCTCTTGCCACAGATGTAGTCAGTCTGATTCCTGCGTACTCCATCTGGTGAAGTCCACGTGTATAGCTGCCGTTTGTGCTGTTGAAAAAAGGTATTTGCAATGAATAAGTCGCCAGTTTTGCAAAATTCTATAATGCAATCTCCAGCATTATTTCTATCACCAAGGCCATATTTTCCAACTACTGGTGATTCTTCTTTGTTTCCAACTTTTGCATTCCTATCACCAGTGATAATCAACACATCTCAATTGCATGTTCAGTCAACTTCAGACTGCAGAAGTTGGTAAAAATCTTCAATTACCTCATCTTTGGCTTTGGTGGTTGGTGCATAAATTTTAATTATAGTAGTATTAATGGGCCTTCTTTGTAGGCATATGGATATTATCCTATCACTGGCAGCATTGTACTTCAGAATAGGTCTTGAAACATTCTTTGTGATGATGAATGCCATGCCATTCCTCTTCAATTTATCATTCCTGGTATAGTAGATCACATGGTTGTATGATTCAAGATGGCCAAAACCAGTCCATTTCAGCTCAGTAATGCCTAGGATACCGATTTTTATGCATTCCATTTCATTTTTTACAATTTCCAATTTTCCTAGATTTTACAATTTCCATGTTCCGATTGTTAATGGATGCTTGCAGCTGTTTCTTCTCATTTTGAGTCATGCCACCTCAGCAAATGGCAGTACCAAAAGCTTTACTCTATCCACATCATTAAGGTTGGCTCTACTCTGAGGAGGCACCTCTTTCCCTGTCATATTTTGAGTGCCATCTGACCTGAGGGGCTGATCTTCTGGCATTCTATTGGACAATGTTTCAGGGCTATTCATAAAGTTTTCCAGTAATATCTCAGACAGTGTTTCACTACTGTTCATAAGGTTTTCCCTGGCCAATTCTTTGAGAAGTGGGTGGCCTCCTTCTTCTTCTGAGTCTCTCTAAGTCTGGAAGCTCTGCTGAAACCTGTCCACCATTGGTAACCCTGTTGGCATTTGAACCTCCGGTGGCATAGCCTCCAGCCTCACAGCAACATGCAAGCCACTGACAGACAAGTTCATCTCTCTTAGTTGTTCCAAACTGCTCTGCTCACTTCCTGGCCTCCCCTAGCTGTGATCATGTCAGGAGATGGTGGTAATGTTAAGTGAAGCAGCACTAATATGCAGTTAAAGGGCCCTGATGACACAGTGGTTAAGTACTCATCAGCTATCCCAAAGGTTAGTAGATGCAGCCTATCAGCTACTCTGAGGAGAAAGATGTGGCATGTGTGTCAGAGGAGAACTGTGCTCCATAGTATTTTCAATGGCTAATTTTTCAGAAGTAGATCATCAAGGCTTTCTTCTGAGGTGCCTCTGTGTAGACTCGACCCTCCAACCTTTCAGTTAAGAACCCAGCATGTTGACTGTTTGCACCACCTTAGATGATGATGTTGTTGTTAGGTTCTGACTCATAGGGACCCTATGTAACACAGAATGAAATATTGCCCGGACTCATTTAAATGATAGGCCTTAAAAATTTGTTCTACTCACAGCATATTAAGCATGGTACCTCTATAGCCACAGTCTCTGGGACGTAGAAGACAATGGGCTGGAAACACACAGTCTAGGGCAAGGAGCCCAAAAGTTTCAGGTTGATGGTCTCTTGTTACCCCTGTTTCCTTTGCTGTTGCTTTAAGTGCTAGTTTAACTAAAGTTCCTTCATGAAGGCGCATACTTGGTCCCTGGGCCAACAGATGGTGAGATTGTTTCTGTTTCTTTCAGGCCGTACACCTGGTCCCTGGCTCCAGACTGAGACAGGAGGGCAGGGCTCCGATGACATCAAAGGCAGAAATTCTCAGGTAACATGTCTCTCAGGACTCTGAATGTAAAACTAGGAATTCTCTTCAGGGAACACAGAGATGTTGAGAGTATGCTTTCTACTTAGCAGCTTGAAATTTTCCCTCAGACTCCTTTTCCTCGAGAAAGGCCATTTTGTGTATCTTTGTTTCAAGCTGGAATGAAACACTCACATTTTAAAATCTAAAAGGTGAAAAGGGGAGTTTGCTTCAATCACCACCACATACAGAAGCAAGTTTGGAACCTCACAACCCATTTAGAATTGTTGTGCAAAAACCACCCCATTCACTCCCCATTTCTTCACTGATGACTCAAGGAGCCTATACCATTTATGAAACATACTGCAATGTTCTTTCTCATCTACAGAATACATGGTTAGGAACCTTGGAACCTTGGCATTTTGTTTTGTTTAACTATATTTCCATAAAATATATGTAACAAATCATTTGCTATTTTAGCCATTAAAAAAAAAATGTTTTATTGTTTACATAATTTAACATCAATTCCATTGGGATATTTTCATTTTTCTGGATGTAAGCCCTGACATACTTTGCTTACATAAAAAAGTAAATGGGCAGTGTTTGCACAGGGAGATAGCTGAGGGGGCAGGAATGCATAGGAAGTAAGGACACAGGGAAAAGGTAACTATAGGGAAGAAGTGAGAAGAGAGCTGTTACATCATCATAATTGTAGTCAATGTCATGAAACAAAATATGTATGAATTGCTTGTATGGAAAATGAGTTTACTCTGTAAACTTTCACCTAAATCACAATAAAGGAAAAAAAAAGAGAGAGATAGGGAGGGAAGATGTCTTATACGGCAAAGTCACTGAATTCTTTGAATTACTTCCTAGTTGTTTGCTAAAAAAAGAGAAAACTCATGGTGGTAGTGTAATGCCTAAGGCATTTGACTGCTAACCAGAAGGCTAGTGGTTCAAACCTACCAGCCACTCCTTGGAAGGAAGATTGGGCAATCCACTTCTATAGTGATACAGCCTCGGAAACCCAAGGAGGGGTCACTATGAGTCAGATCCAACTCGATGGGAGTGAGTTTAGTTTTTGGTTTTTTTGTGGTGATACATTTTTATAAATATGCATTTTTGTCAGTTGATGATATATCAGGTCACAGCTTAACTATGTCTTCTTTCAATTTCTTTTTTTCAAATTGTGATTTGGGTAAAAGTTTTACAGAGCAAATTGGTTTTCCATTCAACAATCCACACACATTCTATTATGTGACATTTACTGCATTCCCACGTTGTAACAACATTCTTTCCACTTCATCCCCATGCCCATTTTAGCCATTTTTAAGTGTACAGTTCAGTGACATTAATTACTTTCACCAATTGTGCAACCATCAGCACTATCCATTTTCAAAAGTTTTACATCACCCCAAGCAGAAACTCAGTATCCCTTAAGCAATACCTTCCCATTGCCCCTTCCTACCCACTCCTGATATGGAGCTCTGGTGGCACAGTGCCTAAGGCATTTGACTGCTAACCAGAAGGTCAGTGGTTCAAATCCACCAGCCACTCCATGGAAGGAAGACTGGGCAATCTACTTCTGTAAAGATTTACCACATCGGAAACCAAAAACCAAACTCACTGCCATTGAGTTGGACCCGACTCATAGCGACGCATCATTGGGTTTCTGAGGCAGTTTTCTCTACGGAAGTAGATTGCCCAGTCTTCCTTCTGAGGAGTGGCTGGTGGGTTTGAACCTCCAACCTTCTGGTTAGCAGTCAAATGCCTTAGGCACTATGCCATCAGAGCTCCTTCGGAAATCCAAAGGGGATCACTATGAGTTGGAATCGACTCTATGACAGTGAGTTTGATTTTTTCTTTTTACCCCTTCCTGATCTCACTAATAAACTTTAGTCTCTATACACTTGCCTATTCTAGATAATTCATGTAAGTGGGATCATACATTATTTGTCCTTTTGTGTCTGATTTAATTTCACTCGTGTTTTCAAGGTTTATCCATATCGTAGCATAATATCAGAACTTCATTTCTCATTATGGCTGAATAATATTCCATTTTATATATGCACCACATTTTGTTTTTGTATTCATCTATTGATGGACACTTGGGTTGTTCCCACCTTTTGGCTATTGTGAAAAATACTGCAGTAAACATTGGTGTACACATAGCTCTAGTGGTGTAGTAGTTAAGGCATTTGGCTGTTAACCAAAAGGTCAGTAGTTCAAACCCACCAGCTGCTCTGTGCAAGAAAGACGAGACAGTCTACTTCCATAAAGATTTGCTGTTGTTGTTATGTGCCATCGAGTCAGACCTGACTCATAGCGAGCCTGCCTTGGATTTCTGAGGAGGTATCACTACAGAAGTAGATTGCCCAACCTTCCTTCCAAGGAATGGCTGGTGTAACCACCAGCCATCTGGTTAGCAGTCAAGTGCCTTAGGCACTATGTAACCAGAGGTCCTCCATAAAGATTTAGTCTTGAAAACCCAGTGGGGAGCTCTATGAGTTGGAACTGACTTTATGGCAGTGAGTTTGTTTGGGTTCCCTTAAGTCTTTTGGGTATATACCACGAAGTGGAATTGTTGGGTCAAATGGTAATGCTATGTTCAGTTTTTTGAGGAACCATCTAATTGTTTTCCACAGCAGCTGCACCATTTTATGTTCCCTTGGGATTTTCTTCCCCATCTATCTATCTATCTATCTATCTATCTATATATATATATATATATATATATATGCCAAATTTACTCAAATTTATTCAGGTCCTAGTGGTGCTTGACTGTTAACCAGAAGGCTGGTGGTTCAAACCCACCAGCCACTCCTCGGAAGGAAGGTTGGGCAATTCTACTTCCGTAGTGATACTGCCTCAGAAACCCAAGGAGGGGTCACTATGAGTTGGGCCGACTCAATGGCAAATAACAACAACAACAGTGGTGAAAGAAAAGTGACAAATCTGGAAAGGAAACCAGCTAGGGACTTGTACAATAAGACAGTCTTTGAAGAAATACCATCACCCTTACCCAAGGCCACATGGTCAGAAGTGTTAGTAAGGCCACCCTAACCCAAGCAGAGATGGAGTCTCTCACTGCATAGATAAAGGCTCATCTTTAAGGCCCTTTGTTTCTTAGAAAAACCACATTCAGTCCTGCTGTGGCCTCCTGCAGTATTGGAGTTCTGTGTGACAAACCAGGGAGCCTGCTGTAATTTGAGCCCCTTTGCATCTGTATCAAACCTGGAGGAGAGTGGCCTGGGAAGGAAGGAACTGGAGGTTCAGGAAGTCAAACAAGATTCCTTGGAGAGCTCTTTGGAGGAGAAGGAAGCATTTCCTCTAGTAGACATGCACCCCCCTCTTTTTTCCCCACTGCTAACCCAGTAATTACAATAATCATTCTCAGATGTTCACAAGTTCAAAATTGGATATGCAACTGTACTGATGGAAAAAGCTTGCCTAGGAAAGAATAGGACAGGAAGCATATACACAAAATTGTTAACGGGCATTTATTCTGGAAGATTTTGGCTGATTGTTACCTTGTTCCTAATGCACTTCGATTTTCACATTTTCTACAATTGAATACATTCCTCCTGTAGTCAGAAAATATAGTAATAAGCATAATCATAGTCCCCTACATTTACATGGCTCTTTACATTTTCCAGGTAAGTTGCATATGTTATTTTATCTGATTCTGTTACTAGTCCTTGGTGGGAGCTGAAGAGATATCTTGAATGCCCGTTTAGAAAAGATAAAACCAAGCTCCAAAGGGTTAAAGAACATGCCCAAGGTCACATGCCCAGACCTTCTGACTGCCTGTCCAGTGTTTCTTCCACTAGACCTCACTGCTTTTCCTGGCATGCCAGACTCACCACAGCCAAGAGTTATCCTCACCATCAACTGGGACAAGGCTGTTTGGGCCACTGTTCAGGAACTGGTCCCCAGCATCATAGCAGGCACATATCTAAATCACCTGAAACTGATCAATTTTATTTCCATCCATAAACATCTAGTCAAGGATGAATTGTAAAGTCTCCTTTGGGAATCCCATAGTCAAAAAGATCTTCTTTACGTCTTGCTGGATATCATCTTAATTCATTTTCATGGCAATGAGACAAAAAGGAATAGCCCAGAGAAATCACTGGTTTCTAGTCAAGCTAACAATGCCCAAGGGGTGTTTCTTGTTTTATGGATACAAGACCCAACTGATCAGTGCATGGATGGGAGCTCTGAACTGGAAGTCTGAAAACTTGCATCCCATTCTTTCTTTTCCATTGCCTTATCCTGGGATCTCCAGCAAGTTCTTGACTATTCCTGAGCTTCCTGTCAAATGAACCTGCCCATGCTTAGTTCTACACATGTTTCTGTGACAGCATTAGACCCTCATCCATTGCTGGTGGGAATGCAAAATGGTATAGCTGCCATGGAAAACAGTTTAGTGGTTCCTCAAAAAGTTAAACCATATGACCCAGCCTTCCCAGCCCTAGGTATATACCCAAAGGAACTGAAAGCAGGAACACAAACAGAAATCTGTACACAGATGTTCCTTGAAGCACTGTTCATAATAGCCAAAAGGTGGGAACAATCAAAATGTCTATCAGCAGATGAATGGGTAAACAAAATTTGGTACATACATATAATGGAATATTCCACAGCCCCAAGGAAAAATGAAGTCCTGATACGTGCTACAACATGGATGGATGAAGTTTGAAAACATGCTGAGGGAAGTCACAAAAAGACAAACATTGTATGACCTTATTTATATGAAAGAAGCAAATATATAGAAACCAAAGCTTATTAGTGTCACCAAGGGTGGGAGGGAGGGGCAAAGGAGGAGTCATTCCTTCAGGGGGTGCTGAGTTTCTGTTAATGGTGGTGGAATAATTTGGAAATGCAGAGTGGTGATGGTTGCACAATATGATGAGCATAACTGATGTCACTCAGTTGTAAAAACTTGTTGCATTGGCAAATGTTGTATCTATCGTTATCACAGTAAATAGTTAAAAATATATGTATATAGCATTAGGTCCCCACATGACATCATGCCTCATTTTATCTCTTTGTCACCCATGACCCCTTGGGTATAAATGAGCACCTTGCATATGATGGGACCATCTTCCAGCCCATGCAGCCTTGTATTCATGAGGAAAAGCAGCAGTGTCCAGTCCTGGGGTGGGTCTTGTATGTGCAATGACTTTGCCAATCCCACACAATCATCCTCTGTTGTGTTTCCACAGTTACCTCTAAAGACACTCCGGTGAGAAGACAGATGAAGCCAAGGTCCTGTGAGCCCCCCAGGGGTTCCCTATCACAGGAAGGGCACCCCAGGAGATCATGTCACACCCCCACCTCACTCAAGCTGTATTTTAGTTGACATACAGGCTCTGCATGGGGCATTTATTTATTGTAAATAGGTGGTTTGCACAGGCTTTAAATCAGTATTATAGTCCACTTTTATTTGCATAATTAAAAAAAATGTTTCTTCATTTTTTAACATGCACCTAGCATTCGCCTGTCAGTTCAGAAAGAGCCCTGTCCGCTCCCCCCCCCCCGTGCCCATTCCATGACTACGTATGCACGAAGGCTGGCCCTCCCTAGATGCTGAAGCATTGTTTAGAAGAGCCATTCACTTTCAGGTAGTTCCCAAACCATGGTATCCACAATGGCTTCTTATTGGCGTGGTTTTATATTCTCATTGCACCAACTGCAAAATCAAACCAAATAATGCCTTATAATTGATGCAGCTCAGAGAAAGTCATGATTCCCCCACACCCCAGTGATGCTGCCATGCGGCCTCCAATGAATGAGACGCCATGTCTCACTCCTGTTTCGCAGTACAGGGATTTTTTTTTTTTTTTTTGCTGCCTAATGTAAATATGACACAAAATAAAGTCAAGAGGAGGCTTGGCCCCTCCAACGCCTACCCCAGGGTCCTTTTTGTAACCGAATAATCCTACAAGTAGCCAATGCTCTAACTGTTTACAGTCCCCTTGTGCCCAAGTCTCCATGACCTTCCTTCTGTTCTCTCGAATTTCCCAGCCCTGTCCTGGTAGCCAGAGTGAAGTGAGCTTTATGATGATATTTTCCCTGCAGGTCAGAAACATAAGCAACTCATAGTAAATTAGTAACTTAATCTCAGAGATCTTTTTTTTTTTTTTTTTTTAATCTTGAGTGCAGAATTTGCGTGGAAAATATGTTATGAAAAAGTGAAGACCAAAATGTGCAGTGAAATAACTGTCTCAAATATCTGGTGCCCAACTCCCATCTGGGGAACCTGGAGCTTCCCATCAGGCAAACCACAGCCCCTTGTAAATTAAAGGAGAATGGAATTGTCATGACAGCTTCTCCATTCTCTGTGGCAGGCAATTCTCTGTGAAGAGACACGTGTCCAAGTCTAGTCCACCCCTGAATATGGAAAGGGGCACGATGAGCTATGACTTCTTCTCTCACAATCTTTTTTCTTCTTGAGCTGGCAAGGGAATGGAAGTGTGTTTTCACTTGCCACCTGTGAAAACATACTCCCCATCCTTAGAGAGGAAGGCTAGCACAGAGGAAGGAGAGAAAAATAGGACACAGAGTGATCCCTGGGTTGTGCTCAAAATAACGACAGATCAAGGGAAATCAGGGAGAGGAGAGGAGGGAGGAGCAGTGAAAAATTAAGTTTGCATTGGAACAACTCACACCTTAAAGGTACCATACCCAGATCAACGCATCCAGAAAAGGTAGACATTTAGGCCAATTTTGGTAACTGCTACTATAGAAACCCAATTGTTGTCTCTGGCTTTCTACACCATTGTTATGCTTTCTCTGCATTCTCACTCTAGGAAGAAACAATTGAGCAGGGTTAAGCTCCCTTCGCTGGGGAATAAATCATGCCAAGTTGTAACAGCTAAATCAATGGAAAAGCAACTTTTGTAGGTCATCAGCTCTAGGCATGGCTGATTTGTTTTATTGGTTCTGGAAGGTTTCCAAAAGGTCAGAATTTCTTTATGATTATCCACTCCGCCTCCTTCCCAGTTGGATAACATAATTATAAAAGTTTTAATTATCATGATTAAGAAGACCCTAGACAAAGGCAATTCCACCTTCATAGTAGACTGCCTGCCCTGATGAGGTGTTTATACATTCAAGTTCCGCACTGCTGGGAAGGAAATTAAAAAGAAAACTGTTCAAGGACAGAAGAAGGAGAGCGCAGAAACCAAAAATCACAATGAGAAATCTCAGGAATCTGGCATCACATCTCTTCTAGGGACCTATCACTGAACTCATGGCCCTTGGAGCTCACGCCCACTGCACCCCGTTCCCTCTGACACTATTACAGTTTGATCCCTTCAGCAAAAGCCCATAAGGGGCATTCAACCATCCCCTCATATTCTCACGCACACAGTAGGCTGTGACCCACTCCCCATGTCTCACATCTATTTTATATTTATTGATGTTTATCTGTGCAGATTCATTTCTTTGTACCTAATAAACTTTAATAAGTAAGTGGAAATGCTTCTGGCCATTTCATTGTCAAAACCCATCGATGGTCACCAGTACCAGTCTAAGCCAAACATTTGTAAGGATGCAGGCTTCTAGGAATAGCACAGCAAAAAGGATGTCAACATAGGACCCAGTGCTTGTGGTAACATAACTGTGTTAGCAATGCAGTCTTTCATCTTGAGCTGACCTTTCTCACTAAATTGCAGAATATTTTCCTGGTTTTTGTCGTTAACTATTCTGCTGGGCCAGAGTGCTCCTTGGAAGCAACAATGGTGAGACTGCCTTACTTACTTTGGGCATGTTAATCAGAAGGGACCAGTCCCTGGACAAGGAGGTAGAGGGTCAGCGAAAAAGAGGAAGACCCTCAATGAGATAGATGGACACAGTGGTTGCAACAGTGGGCTCCAGCATGACAATGATTGTGAGGCTGGCACAAGACTGGGCAGCGTTTCATTCTGTTCTCCAGAGGATGGCTAGGAGTTGGAATAGACTCCACGGCACCTAACAACAATCTTACGGGTATTTGGAAAAATCAAGGGGTGGGAGAAGCTTTTTCAAATATATTAAAGAAGTAGATAATACTGTTTTTATTTGGCTTTATCAATGTCGAATGAGCAGAGAGTGTGCTGTTTAGAACATGGTATAGGGGAGATGGGATTTATCTGCTAGGGGAGCAGGCTAAGGATTAGGGTTCGGGAAGCAAACATGGACCTCAGTCTCAGTTTTGCTTCTTAATGGTTTGTTGTTCTTGTTACATGCCATTGAGTCTTAGCAACCCCATGTACAACAGAAGGAAACACTACTCGGTCCTATGCCATCTTCACAATCCACTGCTATGGCTAATTTTTCTCAGAAGTAGACGGCCTCGTCCTTCTTCCAGTCTGTTAGTCTGGAAGCTCTGCTGAATTCCATCCACCCTGGGTGACCCTGCTGGTATTTGAAATACTGATGGCATAGCTTCCAGCATTACACACATACAGGCTATCATAGTATGACCAACAGATAAGTGGTCTTAAAGGTTTAGGGAAATAAATTACTTAACCAGTAAGTGCCTTAGTTTCCTTGTTTGTAATATGAGGACAGAAATACTTACCTGTGCATATGGTTCTGAAGACTCAGTGACATAACACATAGAAAGCCTAAGCCCTTGAGTAGGACACATAACAGACTCAGGTCTTAGCATTCCTCATGCTCAGGAACACAGCCTGCCCTTGGCCACAACCAGTATGCTTGTTATATGCTCAGTCACAAGCAGGGCTGCAGCCAGCCCGTGTAGATGTTTGGTGAGCTGCTCAGACTACACACCACCAGCTCTGCTGCTGGATAGCAAGGAGAGAGCAGTATTTAAAATTCATAGCTGTTCCTGAAATAAATCTCATCTAGAAATTAATTTCATGTCTAGTTACTACACATTTTACATCAAAATTAGTTAAAAGGCTGAAATGTTCTCTTTTATTGGTGGAGGACCAAATAAGTTCTTTAATGACCAAAAGGGCCAGTCTACATGGGAAAGAAAAGCAAGGGCCCAAAATAATCTAGAGTGGATGACAGTCTTCAAAACCATTGACTGTGGAAGTGGTGGAGGTGGTTAAGTTGCTCTATAATTCTAGGCCCTCCTTGTGGAGGTATGAAGAGCTCTGGCTAAAGCACTGAGCTACTAAACAAAAGGTCAGTGGTTCGAACCTATCATTAGCTCGGCAGGAGAAAGATGAAGCAGTCTGCTTCTGTAAAGGTTTATAGCCATGAAAACCCTATGGGGGCAGTTCTCCTCTATCCTATAAGGTTGTTCTGAGTTGGGATTGACTTGGTGGCAGTGGGGTTGGGTTTTTTGGTTTTGTGGAGTTACAAGTCCCTGCATGATGCAAACAGTTAATGCTCTCAGCTGCTAAACAAAAGGTTGGAGACTCAAGTCCACCCAGAAGCACTTCAGAGGAAAGGCCTGGTGATCTGATCCACTTCTAAAAGCCAACCACGGAAAACCCTGTGGAGCACACACAGTTCTACTCTGACATTCATGTGGTCACCATGAGTTGGAGTCAACTCCACAGTAACTGGTTTTTTTTGCATGTTCACTTGTTTGAGGAGTTAAATGTGGAAGAGGTGGTGCCTGGACAGGTGAAGGGAGCACTTAATGGGAAGGGCCGTGGACTCCAGAAGTAAGCTCCAAATTCTCAGGCCACATCACAGCAGGCTGCGACACCCTCCCTAAACCCACTCTTCTGCTTGGAGCTTTAAAAGACCAGTGTATCATACTCATGAAAAAGTTTCAAAGAGTTGCCAGGTCCTTGTTGTATAAACAAAATGGTCATCTACTCTGACCTTGACAGAGGTCCCTAGTTGCAGATGATTGACTCTTATTTCCATGAACAAGTTGCATTTTCCTGTCACAGTGGAGATGGAATCATGGAAGTGGTCTGGCATTTCTAGTCACAATGGTGGAAAGAGCTGGCTTTTTTCTTAAGTAGCAGCCTCTCTCTTGTTTGTGGGGTCGGCATAACTTTAGAATAAAGATGCTTTGCATAAATGGCACCAGCCATTCCAATGATCTAGACTTCTGATTCTACTATGTTTTTTTGTTTATTTTTAATGAGTGGATTTAGCCACAGAATATATAAAAGGGAGGAAACTGCTCAACTGATTTTGACCAAGAGGACTGGGTTTTTGTGTTTCCTGAAGATTCCAGTCAGAAAAATATACCCCCTTTCATGCACTTTCTATGTGTGACTGATGCTCACATTTATTCATGAGACACAAGACAAAAGAGACCATTGGGCATTAATTTTAGCAGTTTTTATTGTATGCTTGATGCATTTAGAGACAATTCCAAGGGCAAGCACTAGGTGGGGAAGTTATCTGGTTTGTAGATACTGGTACAAAAGACTGTTAAGACGACATGGTCAGTTCCCACTGCAGGAAACACGAAGATTTTCTTTTTTATTATTCCCTGCAAATAGCACTTCCCAGCTAACACATTTAAGCTCTCACAACATGATTGCAAACAGGTACATATTCATTCCCATGAGAAATCTCTGTATGACATTTGGGGATGTCTGTGAATCAAATAAAGCACATTTTGACACACAAACTATAGGAGGGAGCCGGGACTCTGGATTGTGTGGAATGAAATGCAACAGCCATGGGTATGAGGTGCTGCTCTTCTCCCACTCCATACCGGGAGGACCGGCTAGCAGGCTTTCTCCCCCTCCCTCTTCCATGTGCTTGGCCCCTAAAGCTGAGGGCACTTGGAGACCTTCCTTGATCAAGAACAGATGGATCTTTAGTCAAGAATGCAGTTAGTGGTTTCATAACAGACATGCTGGCCCCACCTGGCTTCCCTCCTGGGCCAGCCAGCACTGTATAACACCTGTTCCACTGTTGAATGACATCCATCAGGAAGTAAAGTAATTCGCCTGGTTGATAGTTATTTTCTAAACCTAAAAATTCACTCAGTAGGAAAAGAAGTTCATTGCTAAAATCTAATAGGCATATACCTGCTTTGTTAGACAGCTTGTAAGACCCAAAAAACCCAAACCCACTGCCAACGATTCAATTCTGACTCATAGCGGCCCTATAGGACAGAGTAGAATTGTCCTATAGGGTTTCCAAGGCTGTCAATCTTTATGTAAGCAGACAGCCTCGTCTTTCTCCCATGGAGCAGCTGGTAGGTCTGAAGCACCAACCTTTTTGGTTAGCAGCCAAATGCTTTAACCACTGCACCACCAGAGCTCCTTGCTTTTAAGAAAGACTCCTAATAATAACACTGTGTCTTATGTTATTGATCACTAAAGAGTCACCATAATTTTGATTATATCCTTTGTCTACCTAAAGTATCAGACCAAGAAGGAAAATTCCTACTTCCTTTTTTTCTGATTTTCTAGTGCCTCTACCCTCCTAAAAATATGAGGGCTGACTTTGCCCATGGGTATGTCCATCTACTAGACAAAACTGAACTAGCTTATGTTTGGTTAGGGTGGGAGCATGTACAGGCACCCCACCCCATACCTTAATATATACACAAATGATATTCTATGATGCTATTTACACACTGTGACCTTAAACATTCAATTTTTTTTTCACCTTGAATATTCATTTTTCCCATTATCTTTAGAAAAACAATCCCTGGTCAAGAAATAATCTATGTAATGATAAGCATCTTTCAAAAGTAAAGTCTGTTAGAGCATTTATAAACAAATATCCCTCCCACAACAGCCTGCTCAAAATCCAATGTATTTCAAACTGTTAATATAGTAACTGAAAGTCACAAAAAATAAGTACAGCAGCACCAGCTGCTCTTCTGCCCTCTTCTTGTTTCCCCCATTCACCCCCTCTGAATACACGAAGAATCTGTCCATTACTATCAGTCAGCTTTTGACTGGATGTAGACCACCTACTTGCCTGATGGGAGCAACAGTGCCGTTTCAGCTTGGCCAGGTTTTGCCAAGGAAGACTGCCCTCTAGTGTTCATATAGGGACACCACAATAGTGATGTATAACCAGTGGTGGCTGCTAAACTTTGACTAATGGTGACCCCATGTGTGTCAGAGTAGAACTGTGCTCTATAGAGTTTCCCATGGCTGAGTTTTTTGGGAGTAGATCACTAAGCCTTCTTCTGAGGTACCTCTGGTTAGACTCAAACTTCCAACCTTTCTGTTAGGAACAAATGTGTTAAACATATACACCACTCAGGGACTCTTGGTGATGTATAGCATTAGTTAAAACAACCTTCCATTGGGAGTGTTGGCCCTTCTCTGCAGTGCTTGACTAAGGTCTCTGTCCCCTAACAGAAGGAGCCATTGTGTTTCCTCCGCAAGGCTGGGTAATAGTCTCAGGCTGGCAGGTTTATCTGTGATCTTTGGCCCATAGTAATGAAAGCAGGCCTCTCTGTAATTTATTCTCACCAGACTTCTTTTGATCAAACCCCAAATCGCCTTAAGTGTCTCAGACTGTCGAGTCTAATGACATGTTTCCAGAATGGGTAAAAGTGAGGCTGCATGGGAGTGCCTTTCTGCATCATCTTGCTTTTAACAACCACTGTGCATGGTAGCCTCACACCCCCTCTATAAGTGGGCTTGTCAGGCGATGAAGTACCTGAGTCATCCTTAAACCTTATCCTCCTGCTTACCAGCTATAGACAGTTGCTCTCAGAGAATGGCCACTCTGCCTCGAAGAACCCCTACATTCATTACAAGTAAAAGCGTAGGCCAATTCTGCACAAAACTCTCAGCACCTGCAAGCTACCATCCTTAGTTATCATTAACTTTGTAAGCTGAAACCTATTCACCTCTCACCATCTGTCAAAAAAAACCAAACTCACTGCCGTCAAGTCAATTCCGACTCATATCAACCCCTCCTTGGGTTTCTGAGGTGGTATCTCTACGGAAGTAGATTGCCCAGTCTTCCTTCTGAGGAGTGGCTGATGGGTTTGAACCGCCAGCCTTCTGGTTAGCAGTCAAATGCCTTAGGCACCATACCATCTGTAGTCAATGATTTTATATACAGAATTTACAGAATTGCTAGGCAGAAATCTCCTGGCAGTCTTCTACCTATGCTCTCAACAGGGAGCTGGTAGAAAGATTGGTTCCAACAAAACCTCTGGCTGTCAGTGTCCCCATTTGCACATTGAGAGGCCCAGTCCTTCCAGCTCTAATGGCCTACATTGAGGCTCAGGAGGAATTATTAACTCTAACTCACTTTGGAGGGTATTTATACAATACTTCCACATATAAATTCCTATAGAGAATGATGAGACAGATTGGGCCCAAAGGTACAGGTGAGACTAGGGGAAGTGAAGCTGCTGTCTTCTCACAACCTGCTATATTAATGCACAAACTACTCTGCCCCCTTTCCATTGCAGGAGTGATTGAGGGTTTCAGTAGAAGAGGGAACCCCCACCACCATTCACCCAGTTCAGCTACTGGTCTGAAGGCAGCTCCTGGGTCCACACCCAGGAATAAGGGGAAGACCCAGGAGAAGTCAGCTGCTTCTTATACAGCTTTGTGGGATACAACAGGCTGGGCAGGAAGGCGAGGGTTGGATTGTTATCCTGGAGCAAAGCACTTCTACATCCATCTGTTGTCTTTTCGCCCTCTGTCTTCCCAATGCTGAGCCCATCTGGTCTACCTTGCACACATGTCTGTGCTCTAGTGGTAAGTCAATCCTTTATGTGAACACTATGCTAAACAAATCAGTTTAATTAAAGTCTCTCTGCTGAGATAACATAGCGACTGCTCAGCTTCTAGCTACTTTAATGGGAACCTAAACAGTCAAGGGTTTCTCCTTTTCTTTCCCTCATTAGCAAAGAAATTCACTGCTTTGTGGGATGGAACTACCCCATAGGACCGTTTAATCAATCCTAGACTGTTGTTGGAAGGAAGGTTGGGCAATCCTACTTCTGTAGTGATACTGCCTCGGAAACCCAAGGAGGGGTCGCTATGAGTCGGGGCCGACTCAACGGCAAACAACAACAACAAACTGTTGTTGTTGTTGTTATGTGCTGTCAAGTAGGACCCGACTCATAGCGACCCCTCCTTGGGTTTCCGAGGCAGTATCACTACGGCAGTAGATTGCCCAACCTTCCTCCCGAGGAGTGGCTGGTGGGTTTGAACCACCAGTCTTCTGGTTAGCAGTCAGGTGCCTTAGGCACTACACTAATGATGGTAATTCAGCCTGGAATCATTTCTCTACAGGGTCCCTTTCCATATGGCAGGTGTGACAGGAGAGCAGTTTTGCCTTTGGGAGATCCACACAGTGATTTGTGGAAGTCACCAGGATGGCTACCTCTGCATCACTAAAGTGAGTAACAGGTTCCATCCAGCACAAACCAGCTCTCTGCCTGCGTAAGCACTCTGTTGGTCTGCCACACACAAGCACAGGGCATGGAAGACAGGTTCTTCAGGATCATGGAAATTGGGAACTAGCTGGAACAGGAAAGGAGCCCCTTTATCCTTTGCTCTTGGTTCTATCCCTCTGAAAACCCATGTGGAGACATGCTACACTTCAGACATGCACTCAGGTTAAAGGAAGCCAGTGAGGTTCTCCCTGAACTGTGCACACAAAAGCCCTGGGCCAGGAAAGAAATGCCTTTCATTAAACTCCAGGGTGGGGGGCACTGTGACTGAGAGAAAAAGTAAGACTGAAAAGATTTTGCTTTTCCTGCAAACTCAGCACTGTGGGGACTGTCTTTCAAGGCTTGATAACATAACCTCTAGTCCTCTTGTGAAAAGGCTGATGTGTCCACTTCCCTGGAATACAATAATAGCAGCTTAAAATCCACAATTAGTCACACAACCGAACAATAGGCAAATGGGCTACATGTTCCATTGCAGAGAAAGGGAATGGACATCAGAAGAAGGGGGTGTTTTGAGATTCAAGGCAGAATACAACTTCACAGTTCAATTTCGCTTCAGAAAAGGAGACCACATCTTAACTTTCTCATTTTACTCAAACAGGAGAGTGGTTTGTCTTGCTGGTAATTTAGTAAGGTGGGAAGTTTTAAATAAGAAGGGGAAAGAGAAGGCTTACTTCACTTAAAGAACTTAATCTCTGTGTCAACACAGTCATAGAAAATGTCCCCTACTTCAGTGGGGTCCAGAGGGGCAGAGCTGCTCAGGATTTCTTCCATGGCTTCCAGGCCTTGCTTCTCCAGTTCCAGCATGGTCTTCTGCAGCTTGTGACCTTGCTCCTATGGAAGGACATAGCCACTTTACAACTCGACAAAGCAGTGGGCCTGGGGGGAGTGGTGCGAGGTGGAAGGGAACGTGTGGAGGAGAGAATGGTGGGAGGAAGGGGAATTGCAATGGGCAAGAAAGCCTCCCTGGGTCCTGCTGGCTTCCTGCCAATAGTGCTGCCCTTCAATCTGTTTCCCACACTACTGTCACAAGGATCATTCTAAGATGCCAATGTGGTTATATCGCTACCCTGCTCAGAATACTTGAACAGCTCCCCCAGTGCCCTCAGGATAAAATCCAGACCCCTGAGTGGCATTCATACATACAAGGTTCTTACTTGCCTCTCCTATTGCCATGCCCCTTCCTTCTCCCTTCTCTTCAGCAAGGCTGAGTTCCTCGCATTCCTCCAACCCATGATACTCTTTCTTGCCACTTCACAGGGCCACCTTGCTCTCTGGAGTCCCGTTCTCTCCCTCAACACTTGGCCAAGTTGCATCCATTCTTTGAGCTTCCTTGGAAACTTTTCTGACCCCTGACCCCTGACCCCTGACCTCAAGTGGTAGGGACCCCTCTCTATGCTCCCACAGTACAATACCTTTACTTCTGCCCTAGTTATTATCTTCCTGTCATAATGGTTTGCTTGCTTGGCTGTGTTTCCCCATAGACCATGATCTCCTGGGGCATAAGAACGAGGCTTATCTTGATTTTCCAATGACCAGGACATAGTAGGCAGCCTCAATAAATGTTTGTTGGATGAAAACAGATGAATGAATAAATGCATGCTATGTCTATCACCCTTTCACTCTTTTTCTGAGGCAGTGAGATCTCTTCTTCCAGTGAGAATCATTCATTTACGGTGAATGATAGTGAAAAGGTCTCATTATCCCAATTACTCTTAGAACTGAGAAGTTGCTCTCACCATCCATCCACCACTTCCTAAGGCTGTTTGACTCTAACCAATGGTCATTTTTAAATTTCAAAACCCATATAACTTCTTCAGTCTCATTTCTTTGAAGTTTTATGGAGAATATCCCAGAACACATGGCCCTTTCTATCACTGCCTTCTACCCATCAAATACTCATAAAACAGCACACCACGGTGTGCTATTTTCAGTCTACTTGGGCTTACTGTCATCCACCTACAAAATAATCACTGTTGGGAACTAATTTGGACAGCCCTTTAGAAAATGTGAGTTCAGCACAGTAGCTGCATTCATGGTCCTGGGGAAGCATTTGGCAAGGGGGTCAGATGTGGAGTGTTAACTAACTGTGACTTTGACATGTTAAAATGGACATTTCTATAGAATAAAAAAGCAAGTTCTATGAAAACCAAGACTATCCTTCTCAGAGACACTTTCTGAATTCATTTGGATTTGCTGCTGATGTTGCCCTTTTTCTATTCTTTTTATATAGTCCACCATGCTGAATGCGAGGAAGGAAGTCCATTCAGTCCACACAGAATGTATGTAACCATTAACCTAAAAGGTGTCTCTTTTCTTCAGGGCAAACTGGACCTATTACAAATTTTTTAATGGATGCTTAGGAAATAGACGAGCTCCTGACGATCACATTCCTTCTTTCTGCCTTCAGTAAAATACTATTAGTACAGGCTTGGATTTTATATGAAAGTCTATGATGACTGTGGACCTATGTTTGGTGCTGAGGGAAGTGTACTGAGTGTTTTTCTCATTTGAATCAAAGTCTTATAACTTGGTTAACCAAAGTTTTGGAGGGAAAAACTTAAAGAATTTCTTTTTGAAAATAACATATTACCCACGGAACATTTTTTATCCCAAAAGTATACAAATAATTTCAGACAGGAGGAAAGCAGTTATCACTACTAGAACTCCACATTTCTAATATCCCCAAGTAAACAGTAATTGAAAGAGGGATATTCTTAGCTTTCTGCCCTCTAGAGTAACATCAAAAATGGATGCTTTGTTTCATTTGGTTTCAAAACACTGGGCAGGAAAATTAACACCAGCATTCTTGGAAGGGCCTTGGGGAACCAGAATTTCCAGGAGCGATTCGACATGCACCCCATACCCAAGCCTCACCTGGTCACTTGCGATGACAGCACGGGCCCACTCATGGGCCTTGTACAGCTCATGCCGGCGATCTGGTTTCTCCTGGAACCGGGGCTCCTTTTTAGCAGGATCTTCATCCCCAAAACTGGGAGACTGTGCCTTGGGAACGAGTTTTACATCATCAACAAAGATGAAAGGCTTGAATATGGACCTGGAAAGACAGAAGAAGGGTGTTCAGCCAGACTGAGTTTGGCGCTTGGGGACACCCAGAGATTGCCCATTCATTCAGCAAGTACTTCTTGGCCCAACATGAGGTGTGTGAGGAGGTGGTTGTGGGGAGTGCGTGCCCAGGAAGCACAACTTCGTATTAACAAAACTAGCTGCCAGTTACAAGCTGCAAATTCTATCTACCGTGTTGTGGAAACATCAGAACAAACTTTCTTTGGGAAGATCGTTTGAGAGGCCCCTTTAGTTATAAAGGTAAGGCAAACAGACACCCAGTGTTCTGAGAAACAGTGTGATGGGCTCTGTGTTAGCTAAAAGAGGTTTGCTTCTTTCTCTATCATGGTTTGCTGCAAAGTGTCCTCCTGGAAAGGAAGGGTCTAAGACCACCATGTTTTGTTTTGTTGTGGTTCTACCTTACTGGAAAATTCTGGAATATCTCTAATTCAGGGTAGGGAGAAATTAATAGAGATGACATAAAAGGATCAGAGGGGATGTACCACAGAGAAACAGCAGTCTAACTGTGAGAGAGTGAGCTCTGGGCACAGTATGTGGCTAATGCAAGAACTCTCTTTGATTTGGTTATTTTGACACAAGGGATGTACCTGTAGAAAAATGGCCAGGAGTATGTGTGCATGTGTACACTTGTATATATGCACATGTACACCAAAAGAGTGACTTCTCTAAAGAAGTGCAGCCTGGAAACACAGATCAACAGCATGTAGGGCAACAGCAGCTAACTGTTGCCTGGGGAGAGAGGCTTATTTGCCCCTCTCTGCACCCAGAGAAAACACCAGAGGATCAGAGGGAGGCCTGGGCCCAGTAAGCTCTTTGCGGAGCACAGACACCTCTGAGCCTTGAGTGTGGCCTGCTTTCCAGCCACACTGGGAGCCTCACATACACACACACATACCCTCCTGTATGTTCTGATCAGATTTTGATCTTTCCTCTCAACTGGTGTACCTTGGCCTGCTCCAGGGTGCCACAGGTGGGTTAGAGGTGAGCTGCGATGTTGACTCCCTCAGCCTTGAGGTATCTGGGGTTTGAGGGAGCTGAGGCAGCCTTGCCAGTATGCCACACAGGGACTGTCAGCCATCATCTGACAATGATTGTGAAGCAATAACCCTTCTCCTACTCCAGTCATGGTCTTGAACTAGCTGAATGCTGAATGAATGACTGTTGAGTGTGAAAAGTAATTAATGTGAAAATTAAAGTGTCTAAACCAAGTTTCATTCCATGAAATGGAATTCTCCAATTGGTGATTAAGGGCTGCAGTTTGTATCCAATGGAAGAGGGTAACAGAGAGAGAGAGCAAGAAAGAGAAAAAGAAGAGAGGGCGGGGAGGAGAGGGAGAGCAGGAGGCATGTGCTCATGTGCACTGAGAGAGAGACAGAGACAGAGAGAGTATGCATGAGAGCATGACTGACCGAGCCCAGTCCAGAGACATCCAGACTGCCTCACAACAGGTAAGTGCCCTGGTCACTGGGGCCTGACAGCACTCAAGGTCTCCAGAAAAGTCAGTGCTCACCATTCCATCTGTCAGCAGTTCATATGCAGCTTCTGTAGGAGGAGGACCCTGGGGCTCATGCCGGGCAGTCCAGGGCCTGCACAATTCACCTTCCCCAGATCCAGGCCTCTGAGCTGGGCGCAACATGGTAAAGCCATTTCTCCTACCTATGGCTGTGAGGTTTCTAGTGGGATTGTTGCAGGTTCAGCAGTTGGCCAGCCAAGGGCACTACAGCCCCCAGCAGAGCCTGCTGAGCTGGGCTATTGAGGAGACCCTGGGAGAGGGGCTCTCCACCTCTTCCTCATCCCCCATCCCAAGCCATGGATGATGGTCACATCCATGACACCACCCCATTCAATCCCCTGCCCAGCACCTCTTTTCTAACCACTCAGAAACCAGAGTGGGATTGATGTTATTATAGGAAACCCTGTGATTTCATTTATAAAACTGCAGTGCTTTGCTTCCTAGGCATCTAATTATCTTGATCCATGGGGGAGAACCACTGTGTACTGTGGGGTACAGAGGGTGGCAGGATGGGGAGCAGCCTGGGATCACCCAGTGGGCTGAGCTACTATCCAGAGGTCTGCCTTCTTGGGCGGAGCAGGGGAGGGCACAGAACTAAGCTGGGACTCCTGTCACTGAGCCTGATTCCTCTAGGTCCCTTCCAGACTGACTCAAGGCTGTGTGAGTCATCTGAACAGGGTTTTCTCTTGCCCTTTTCTTTGCCTAATTCCCCTTGATGGATTGTCAGGGTCCATGGTTCAAAATCATCAGCCACTCCACAGGAGAAAGATGAGGTAGTCTGCTTCCATAGCAATTACAGCCTACGAAATCCTATGGGGGTTGCTGTGAATTGGAATCAACTCAATGGCAGTGGGTTTCATTTGGTTTTGGTTCCAGATCACAGAATCAGCCTGGCTTAGTCACTCCGGGGAACTTCTCCATCTTCAGTAAAAAGAGTCATGTTTGGGGTCAAAGCTGTCAGGTGGCCACTGAACCAGTTTCTCTCAAAATTCATGAGTCCCTCTGAATGGTTCATCTAT